CCCCAAACCCCAAACCCTAAACCCTAAACCCTAAACCCTAAACCCTTCAGGTAAACCTTAGGTGCATTGTCCAGCGGCGAGGATGCGGCGAGCCGCTCGGTGCAGAGGTTGGCTGAGGTTTTGCTTCAGAAGCGCCTCGGATGTGCCAAAGGTTTAGGGTTTAGGGTTTAGGGTTTAGGGTTTAGGGTTTAGGGTTTAGGGTTTAGGGCTGTAGGAATGTGCCTGACTGACCCCTACCCTGACTATTTTTCTTACGAGGCCCCCCCGGGCCTAAGTTTTGAGGGTTGAGTTGTCTTTTTGGACGGGGGATGAAATGGTGCCCAGTTGTTTGGAGTATGCTAGGGCTCGACAGGGTTGACATGCTTTACTGCTCGAAACTGCGGATGCACGCTTAAACCCCACCCTAAATCCCAATCCCTCCACCCTCGACTATGAAACACGAAACCGTAAGCCTGAAACTCCAACACCCAAAAAGCCCTAAACCCTAAACCCTAAATCCTAGACCTTCCACCCTAACCTTTTAGCCCTAAAACCTTAAAACCTGAACACCTACATCCCAAAAGACCACTTGGGAGCACCCTGGTTTCAGCCCCGAAACTGCAGGGTTTAGGGGTTAGGGTTTAGGGTTTAGGGCTTAGCGTTTAGGGTTCAGGGTTAGGGAGTTTAGGGTTTAGGGGTTGAGGGTTCGGAACTTCGAGAGCAGCAGATCCCCCCAAGAAGCAAGACAATAGGGGTGGTTTCCTTAAACTCGGGTCGCTGTTGTGGGGTCCTTTATATAAGCCTGCCCGACCAATAAAGGGGGGCCCCAAAAAAGGGACTTAATTTGGAGAACGGCCCCAAATCTGAAGAGAAGCCCCGAAACTTCCCGAGAAGCTCCAGGAAACTTACGGCCAGCCGAGAACCCCACCCTAAACCCTTTAAACCCTATAAACTCTACAAATTCTATAAACGCTATAAACCCTATAAACCCAACAACCCCAAAACCAACAACCAAAAACCCAAAGCCCTTAACCCAACACCCAAAACCCAACCCTAAATCCGACGCCCAAAACCCTAAACCCAAAACCCTAAACCCTAGGCCCTAAACCCTAAACCCTAAACCCTAACCCCCCCTCCCCTTCCCCCCCCCCTCCCCCCTCTGCAAGCTCTTGGCCTGGTACTGGAAGTACGGATCGTTCCCCGGCATATCCATGTCCAAGCCTCCGCCCGAGAGGCTTTCGCACCCCGAGCCGAGAGGGTTTTAGGGTTTAGGGTTTCGGCTTTAGGGTTCAGGGTTCAGGGTTTAGGGTTTAGGGTTTCGGGTTCAGGGTTCAGGGTTCAGGGTTCAGGGTTTAGGGTTTAGGGCTTAAGGTTTAGGGCATAGGGTTTCCGGTTGATACCCGGTCCTTCGAGGCTGAGTGCATGGTGCCTTAGCCAAGGAACTTGTCATCTTCTAGCGCGCTCAGGAAACGAAACTTCTTTGCGATGTTGTATGAGTATCTGCCTTCTCTGGCCCGTTGAATTCAGCTGCCTACGCCAAGTTCTTGTACTTACACCCAAGCTGACGTTCCTTGAATAGCTATCGGGTTACCAGTTCTTCAGGAACAGCCCCAGGTATCCCGAAGCCCAAACCCTCAACTGGAGGGCCGGGGAAGGGGGAAGGGGGGGGAGGGGGCAAGGGACCCGATAAACCCTCAGCCCTAAACCCCAAACCTAAACCCTAAAAAATCGGGAGGGGTCGGGGGTTCGAGAACAAACATGAACGCCCGCCAAGGCGCCATGCTGGATCGCGCCGGAGCTGTGCCTTGGTGATTCTGGAGCGAATGTTTAGGGTTCAGGCTGTAGGCTTTAGGGCTTAGGGTTTAGGGTTTTGGGGTTTAGGGTGTAGGGTGTAGGGTTTTAGGGTTTACGGTTTAGGGTTTAGGGCTAGGGTTTAGGGTTTAGGGTTTAGGGTTTAGGGTTTAGGGTTTAGGGTTTAGGGTTTAGGGTGAGGGAAGGCGTCCCTTGGCTGCGCGCAAACCCCTAAAGCCCTACCCAAAGAGCCCAATACCCCTTCATTATGGAATATACCTTAATTCAAAAAGGGATCCTCAATATGATTTAAGGTATACTCCTTAATTACCCGGAATTGGGCTCTTTGGGCAATCTAGGGTTTGGGGTTTGAGCGCTTAGGGGTTGAGCTCCTAAGTCCTCGAGTGTGGCCATGCGCTGGAAACAAGCTGGCAGAAACCTAAGCCCTAAACCCTAAACCCTAACAGGGTTCAGGGTTCAGGGTTTCGGTTTAGGGTGCAGGAAGCGCTCCCTACATCCAGAAGCCCCTGAGCCCTAAACCTCAAATTCTAAAACCCTGGACAGCTAGGTTAGGGTTTGGGGTTCAGGGTTTAGGGGTACTGTAGTTACACTGTCCCGACATATGGGCCCTTGAAGAAGCGACGCCCGATTTACCCCATTCTAGCCTGTAAAACCCCAGGGGCCCATACTTCAGAACCCCTTTGACGGACCCTAAACCCTAAACCCTAAACCCCAAACCCGAAACCCGAAACCCGAAACCCTAAACCCTAACCCCTAAACCCTAAACCCTAAACCCTAAACCCCAAACCCTAAACCCTAAACCCTACCCCCCAAACCCTTTAAGGAAGGTAGGGGAAGCTCTCTGAGGCCGGCGGCGCCGCGCCCCAGTCTGACATCACGAAGCCCTTGAAATTCATGCGACCACGCCTCGGCTATTTTTTTTTTGGGGGGGGGGGGGGGGGGGGTTCTGACATTGGGGTTTGGGGTTTGGGGTTCGGGGTTCGGGGTTTGGGGTTTGGGGTTTAGGGTTTAGGGCTACCTGATTGGGGTCCTTACTACAAGGGAATCCTACTATTTTGGGGGTTCATCATACTAGGGGTCCCATATTTTCGTAAACCCCCATTTCAAGGGCTTGACCGGCAGTAGCCCTGCACCCGAAAAGTAAGGGCTGGCCTTTTAGGGTTGAGTTTGCAAGAGCCTTTGCACGAAAGGATCCGCACAGTTGTCGGAGGCCTTTAAGGCTTCAGGGTTCTTCAGGGTTCTACTGCTTTAAGAGTCTTTGGGACTACTGGTTGTGCACAAGTATCGTCTTCCAACTTATAAGTACACATATACATAAACTCAATCATCGATATGCTTACTATATCTATATCTATATATATATAGATATAAATAAAAAAAAATATATATATATATATATAGAGAGAGAGAGAGTATACTATATCTTACAGTGCTGAAGACTTTTGTTGCAGGCGCCATAAGCAGATTTGATCTCAGGGCCCCAAACACACACCCAGAGTCGAGGGCCGACAGCGGTTTAGGGTGTTGGGGGGGTTTAGGGTTTAGGGTTTAGGGCTTAGGGTTGAGGGTTTAGGGTCACCCAGCAGCCCCAATGCCCCCCTGGGCTTGTCCCAAGTGGCAGGTCTCGTATGAGTAGGCCGTCATGTTCGCCTCAGGAACCGCCCCGCTATCCGACCAGCTGGTTTCTTCCAAATCAGGCTCCTCTTTAGCAACTGGCAACGGTAGAAAACCAGGATGGCCCCTAAAACCCTCTGAAAAATATTCCTGATGAAAGATGTCCCAAGGTCCTACCTAGAAACCCTTACGTGCAGAACGGCTTGAAGGGTTTAAGGGTTAGGGATTTGACTTGAACGGTCTAGGGTTTAGGGCTCCACAACCGCACGCAAACGTAGAGCAATCTAGACGCTGGTAAAGCCCAAAACCTGAATTTCATCCGGGATGCCACGCTGCTCCGATTTAGGGCTTATAGGTTGGGGGTTGAGGATCGCTAGAACCGTGTTTAGGGCTTAGGGTTTCTAACTGCCCGGATTGAGGGTTCAGTGTTTACTTGGCGTTTCATGGGTAGTTCTTTGTCGGGTTATACGTATTGTACATTATCTAGGTACCCTAAACCCTAAACCCTAAACCCTGCTGATAACTACCACTGAACCTCTAAGCATTTGCGTTGCTGGAAGCCTCAAACCCTGTTGGCACTAAGCACAGGACAGGCGTAGGTATAGTTCACCTGACGGCCAGGTGGCAGACTCTAAACCCTCAACCCTCAACCTTAAACCCTAAACCCTCAACCCTAAACCCTAAATCCTAAACCCTAAACCCTAAACCCTAAACTAAACCCAACCCGGTTTCATGGTTTGTTTTGTAAAGGCTGTTGCAACCTCAGACCGAAGACTCGGCCAGACTCCCAATTCCTTCCACTTCGGAATCCGAAACAATGACAATGTGTGTTTACACACACAAATATGTGTCTTAGGTTCAGGGACTTAGGGGCTTTACGTAGGGTTTCTAGGGTTGAGGGTTTAAGGTTTTAGGGCTTTAGGGGTTTTGGGAGCTTTAGGATTGTAGGATTTCAGGGCTTGCGGGTTCTTAGGGCTTGAGGGTTCTTGAGGCTTAGGGTTCTAGTTTCGGGCTTTGGAGCTTAACGTTTAGGGGGAACGGGGAGACCGCCAAAAAGGGGGGGCCGGGGGGGGAGAGGCACCCTAAACCCTAAACCCTAAACCCGAAACCCTAAACCCTAAACCCTAAACCGTAGCAATTCTTTTGTCCAGAGTCTCTATGCCCCTTACTTGTGCGCGCAAGGCCTAGTCTTCATCGCTCAGGTTCTTCGCTTCCCCCCGTCCCCCTTACACTAACAGGTTTAGGGTTTAGGGTTCAGAGTTTGGGGCTGTTAATATAGGGGGAACATCCCAACATATATGGCGTGCTGACAACCGGCAATCTGCAAGTCTGCAGGAGGCGATGGCGGCGAGCTATCAGGTTCTTGTGCTGTTTTGAGCTTTTCGGATCTGATCTTTCAAGGCTTTGCGCGCCTCTCTTTTAGATGCTCCAAGTCTTCACGAAGGACCTGATCAGGAAAAGCTGCTGCGCAGCTCGAATGAACTGGCTGACTGTCGAGCCTGTTGTTCACTACGTCACTACGCATTGGTGCCATAGGGAGTCGTTTACTTTTGGGTAGTAAAATGGGGGTGTAGGGGTTTATAGGGCTTAGGGGCTTAGCGCTGCGGTACCTTGTTGTAGGAGCACATGATCGCTGCAGCGCCCACGTCAATGCCAGCTTCGAAGGGGGGGTAGTAGAGCTCCCACCTCAGAGGCGTACTTGAGGGGTGATTTTGTTTTTTTGTTTTGGGGGGGGGGGGGAGTAACCCTAAGCCCTAAGCCCTACACATCCTAAATCATTACGTAACCAGTGGGTATCTTTAAATTAAAGGGTGGTTCTCCTTAGTCAGGAAGATTTTTTTTTTTTTTTTGGGGGGGGGGGGGCTGCGACAATAAGCATCTAGAGGGGGAATGAGCCGGGATAACCGTAAACCCTAGACCCTAAACCCAATAGACCCGAAATCTTAAAGGTCGGTTTCCAACCCTCAGAGCAACCCGAAACCCGAAACTTCCCTACCCCCGGAACCCTCACCTTCCCCAAGCCCTGAAGCCTAAACTACTAAGCCCTCAACCCTAAGCCTAAACCCTAAACCCTAAAAACAGCGACCATGAGTCGCCGTGCGCTCGTCGACGATGGAGCTGACCCAGTTGCGGTTCGTCTCCTGCTCGTTGAAGCCGAAGTGCTTCCTGGGCAGATCATGGGTTCCCCTACTACCCCCCCTCTATTCTACCCCCCCCCCCCCCGGGGGTTAGGGTTTAGGGTTTAGGGTCACCCCTCCCCCAGGTTCCCCCAATAATTAAGGGTGGAACCCGGGGGGCGGGAGGGTAGTATAGAGGGGGGTAATAGAACCCCAAGCCCCAAGGTTTAGGGTTTAGGGTTTGGGCTTTCGGGATTAGGGTAGGGTTATTACCTCAAGCACTACAAGCCCGGAACCCTAACACCCTCAGTGTCCGGGGCCTAGCTTGGGATGCACGTTCGCCTTTTCTTGTAGAGAAAAACACCCTTAAAACAGACAATGTGGTTTAGGGGTTAGGTGTTTAGGTGGTATATAACGACTGCAGCCTGGTGTGGCAACTGCCCAGGATCAAATGGGGGGGAAACACAAAAAAGAGGGCTCACGATGTCTTTCAGAAGGGAGTCATACTCGGACCCCTGAGGACGTACGAGGGTTTCCTTAATATACTCCTCATATGGTCCTCATATTGCCTTAGAGGATCTCCCCCGAAGAGGTCTCCTAAATATACTCCTCATATGGCCTTTGAATTACCCTAGGGATCTTTCAAAAGCGTCCCCAAACCAAGGGTACAACCTTACTTGGAGGTTCATGGGTACTTATAACCCGAATCATAGGTCTACTTATCACATAGAGGACTTAGGGGAGGCTATAAGTACAGTTCTCTTTGGGGTTAGAAGTGCCCAGATCTCAGGAGAAGTACAGTTGGTACAACCCAAAACACCCTAGATACCCTAGATACGCTAAGTACCCAAAAATCCGCAAGAGGCCCTAAGTCCCCTAGCTTCCCTAGATACCCCCAAAAGACCCAAAAGACCCTAAATACCCTAAGTCCTAAACCCTAAGCCCTAAAACCCTAAAACCCTAAATCCTAAGCCCCAAAACCCCAAAACCCCAAAACCCTAAACCCCTAAAACCCTAAACCCTAAACCCCAAATCCCCTACCTTCTCGTCCCGGGGGGCAAGACGGCCATGACGCCCTTGCGCTGGAGGTGGAAGATGAAGGATCGCGTGAGGGTCGCACCCAGAAAGGGATCCTCTGTAGGGTTTCGGGTTTAGGGTTTAGGGTTTAGGGTTTAGGTTTTAGGGTTTAGGGTTTGGAGTGTTGCCTGCAGGCATGGTTCTTGTATCCGAACCCGGAAGCCCAGAAGACAGGGTTGTCACGGGCTTGGTTTTGCCCAAGACTTGGCGTTTTGCTTTCGGGAGGGGGGGGGGGGGTGGGGGGGTTAGGGTGATTCCCTACCCTAAAACCCTATAAACCCTAAACCCCCGAAACCCGAAACCCGAAACCCGAAACCCTCAACCCTAAACCCTAAACCCGAAACCCTAAACCCTACAGGCCCTGGATGACATTCGGTATGTTGGGGGCCTCTTGGAGGGGTCTACCTAGGGCTTAGGGCTTAGGGCTTAGGGCTTAGGGCTTAGGGCTTAGGGCTTAGGGCTTAGGGCTTAGGGCTTAGGGCTTAGGGCTTAGGGCTTGGGGCTTAGGGCTCAGGGCTTAGGGCTCCTCAGGGCTTAGGGGTGAGGGTTTAGGGTTTAGGGTTTCGGGTTTCGGGTTTCGGGTTTCGGGTGTAGGGAGACCTAAGAGTACCTGGGAATAGAAAGGGTGCCCTTGTTGATTCAGCGGGGGTTGCCTTAAACAAAAGGGAATATATGGCCTACTCTGGGTCCGAGGTAAGTTATAGTTACCAGGGTTTCGCCCCAAGAGTAGCCTAGGAATAAACGGGTGCCTTTTTTAGCTTAAAGGAGTTAACAGGGGGTTATAAGGGAACCTAAGCCCTAAACAAAGGGAATAAGGGCCTACTTTGATCCATGAGCTTCCTCACCGGGCAGGTACTCGAAGTTTCGCCCACCCCGGGCGATCCTGCGCAAGCAAGACAGCTTCGGGGGGATCGTGGGCCACCCTGAGCCGCAACCCTAACCCCTAAACCCTAAACCCTGAACCCTAAACCCTGAACCCTGAATCCTGAACCCTGAACCCTGAACCCTAAACCCTGAATCCCTGAACCCTAAGCCTTAAGCCCTAAACCCTAGAAGATGGGCCCATGCAACCCCGAAGTGTCAGGAATCTACCGCCTTCCCATGCCTGAGTCCCGAAACCCCAAACCCTAAACCCTGAACCCTAAACCCTAAACCCTAAAGCGTGTAACCGTTTAACCCCTGGATGCCTAAATCCGTAGGGAAGACCTCGAAACCTAAAACCCACAGCGGAAAAAACCTCCATCATGCCCACACCCTGTAGGAACAAGCCTAAGCCCTGGAAAGAACCCAAAACCCCAAACCCGGAACCCTGAACCCTAAACCCTAAACCCTGAACCCTAAACCCTAAACCCTAAACCCCGAACCCCAAACCCTAAACCTTCAATGCGTTCAGAAGCTAGACCAAACCCGACCCCAGAACGGCACCGAAAATTGCCGCTTCTTTCTTCGCCTTCGGCCCAGCGCCGGCTGCATCAGGCGCAGCAGGAGGTCCGGTCAGGTTCTTTTGCTTAGCCTTGCATCACCGTCACCCAGTCGTCACAAGTACTCTTGATCCCGCACGGTCCGCACGGTGACTGGCTGAGCCATCAAGTGGGTCCACCAGAGTGGCAGTTTTTGAGGCAGGCAAAGGGTTGAGGTTTCACTACCTGTCTGAACACTGTACAGAAGCTTGAGCCTAAACCCTAAACCCTAAACCCTAAATCCTAAACCGCGTAACCGGTTAACCCCTGGATGCCTAAATCCGTAGGGAAGACCTCGAAACCTAAAACCCAAAGCGGAAAAACCTCCATCATGCCCACAGGACCAAGCCTAAGCCCTAGAAAAAAACCCAAAACCCTAAACCCGAAACCCTGAACCCTAAACCCTAAACCCGGAACCCTGAACCCTAAACCCTGAACCCTAAACCCCGAACCCTAAACCCTAAACCCTAAACCCTAAACCCTGACAGCTGAGAGCCACGAGGCCTGTTGACGTTGAGCCCCGGTCCCAGCATGGCGTTGGCGCCCTTGCCTGCACTGATGGCCGTTTAGGGTTTAGGGTTTAGGGTTTAGGGTTTAGGGCTTAGGGTTTAGGGTTTAGGATTAGGGTTAGGGTTAAGGGTTTAGGATTAGGGTTTTAGTGTGCGAGGGCGGCAGTTTTCGGGTCCAGGGTTGTAGGGCTTTAGGATTTGGCCAAGTTGGGCTGAGGGCTTGTCTCGATACCTCAGCCCTAAACCCCGAAACCCCCTAAACCCTAAACCCTAAACCCTCAACCCTAAACCCTTACCCCCCTCCCAAGCCGCACCCCTGTCCGAACCTTTCGCTGGGGAGCGTACTGTTTAGGGCTTAGGGCGCCAGAAGCCTCCCCACCCCCCTCCCCACACAGAGCCCCTAACGAAACACAAGTCCCACTGAGGGTCCGAGACCCGAAGTAGGGTCTAGGGTTTAGGGTTTAGGGTTTAGGGTTGAGGCTTTAGGATTTAGGGTTGAGGGTTGAGGGTTTAGAGTTTGGTAGGGTAAACCCTCAACCTCGGGATGTTCGCCCCTCATACTAGCAGTCCTTTATATAGGGAGTATGATGCTAGAATCTCTATTCAGGACTGTGTTAGTGCAAGGGGGAACATCCCAAGCTAACCCCCCCAAATACCCAAAAACTTGTTTTGGGTGGCTTAGGGCCCTAAGCGCTGAGCCGCAGTTGCGGGGGCATCCCCCCAAACTTCCACTAGCAGCACCCCCCCCCCCCCAAAAAAGCGAAGGCCAAAAGTGGTAAAAAACCCGCCGACTTCCTACTAGTTTAGGGTTTGGGGCTGAGGGTTTCGAGTTGAGGGTTCAGGGTTTGGAGCTCAGGGAGGTTTAGATAGGTTCCTCAGCAGGCTAGAAGAAAAAATGTTCTTTCTCTTTGTGCTACTGGGCGCCGAAGGGATCCGGCTACGACCTGACGTCCTAGTGCACACACCCCGAAACCCCTTTCTCAAATCCACAAACGGAAGGGCCCCCTTTCACCATGAAGCCCCTAAGGCCCTAAATCCGAAAAATAGGGTCCTAAACCCTAAACCCTAAACGCCCTACTAAACCCTAAACGCCCTAAGCCCTAAGCCCTAAGCCCTAAGCCCTAAACCCTAAAACTGAGATCCCCAACAACATTCTGGGCATTTCGGCGTCCGAAACAACTGAATCAGAAAACCCTAAAACCTATGGACTCTAGACCCTGAACCCTAAACCTCAAACCCTAAGCCTTAAACCACTTAAACCCTACAAGCCTAAACCTTTGCGGATGACCTCGAAACTCCGTGGCCAGTGCGCCGGCTTGCTCCCCCACAGCCTGATGTGCAGCTGGAACTTTGCAGGGGGAGGGAGGGTTTAGGCCCTAAACCGGTGGAGTTGAGGTTGAGGAGCCAGAACCCGGAGAATCTGCAAGGGTAGTTACATGGTCCTTTAATATATATATATATATATATACATATACATATACATATACATATACATATACATATATATATATATATATATAGATATGGACCCTAAACCCTAAACCCTAGAAAGGGGCCCCCTTATATACCCCTCATATCCCCTGCAACACCCAAGGGCCCAGACTTCAGAACCTAAGGGTAAGGGACCACACTAAGGGACCCTGGTAGCTACCCTGGTTACTCTAGGGGGGCTTTAGGATTTAGGGAATAGGGGGGCTTTAGGATTTAGGTTTAGGGTTTAGGGTTTCGGGTTTAGGGTTTGGGGTTTGGGGTTTGGGGTTTAGGGTCTAGGGCTTAGGGGAATAAGGGCCCTGGCTTCAGACATGACACGGCAGCTTTCCCTCCAAAAAATTGTCGAGGGGTTTGGGGGTTTTTTTGTCAGGGCTTCATGAGCCCCAAAAAAGTGTACACTTTCAGTTCTATAGGGGGTTGTCGTACCCCAAAACGTGTTTAAAGTGTGTTTTTTCAGCTACTAAGTCCTCCACCCCACTGGCCACTTCCCACGTCCAGCCTGGATGTCCCAGGTGGCCGCCAAGGCAAGCGGGCTCGGCCAAACGATGGTGGTTCCCACCTAGGTGCCCAGACCCCTGGGAGGATGGGTTTAGGGTTTAGGGTTTAGGGTTTAGGGTTTAGGGTTTAGGGTTTAGGGTTTAGGGTTTAGGGTTTAGGGTTTGGGGTTTAGGGTTTAGGGTTTAGGGTTTAGGGTTTAGGGTTTAGGGTTTAGGAGGATCCAAAAAATAGATCCCCTTAAGGGTTCCTAAGAATGACCCAATAGTAGTCTAGGGTACTATGTGGGGGCTCTATTTTTTTGGATCCTCCCAATGGTCTGGGTGTAAGCAAAAGGTGGGGAAGGAGCTATGGTCAGGGCCCTATCCCCGTACCGGAAAACCTCCTGACTAATGGGCCAGTACAGGTACAAGCACCTGGTTTCCCTGAGCCCTAAGCCCTTTGGGGTTTAGGGTTGGGGATTTTGGGTTTTAGGGCTTGAGGGTTACAGGGGGTTTAGGGCGTTAGGGCTTAAAGGCTTAGGGACCCTAAACCCGAATGCCTTACATCCCAAACCCTGTGAAGCGCTGACAATCCCCCCCCCAACACAAGCCAAAATCTCCACAATGGCCCTTGAAGCCCTCTGCAAAACAGTCCTAAAGATGGTCCTCTTAAACCCATGTAAGGGAAACTAGTCCTCATCGGCGGCTCGCCGCACACGCACCTGGCCTTTGTCCTCGTTCTCATGCATTTAGGGTTTAGGGTTTAGGGTTTGGGGTTTGGGGTTTAGGGTTTGGGGTTTGGGGTTTAGGGTTTAGGGTTTAGGGTTTAGGGTCTAGAACATGACAGCCACTGCATGGTGCTTGTCCAGTGTGCCCGATGCCACGTTCGCTGCGAGTTCCAAGCTGCCGCGCTCGGCCGAGCCATTCAAGAATGCTGTCACAAAAAGGCCGAGGTGAGGGCTTCCAGGGCCTTCGGTTTAGGGTTTAGGGTTTAGGGGTTAGGGTTTAGGGTTTAGGGTTTAAAGTTTAGGGTTTAGGGTTTAGGGTCCTCTTTAACCCAGCAGTGGTGAACAAAAAAATGTAACGAGGGCCTACCTAGATCCTTAGCAGACCCAGGGGCCGAAACCGCTTCAGGGAGTCCGACAGCATAAATGCATAGTTTAGGGGGTTTAGGGTTTAGGGTTTAGGGTTTAGGGCTAGGGATTAGGGCTTATAGGGTTTATAGGGTTTATAGGGTTTATAGGGTTTACAGGGTTTAGAGGGTTTATGGGGTTTATAGGGTTTATAGGGTTTATAGGGTTTATAGGGTTTGTAGGGTTTATAGGGCTTATAGGGTTTACAGGGTTTATAGGGTTTATAGGGCTTATAGGGTTTATAGGGTTTATAGGGTTTATAGGTTTTAGGGTTCAGGGTTTAGGGATTAGGGTTTTGGGATTAGTAGGGTTTAGGGTTGAGGGTTGAGGGTTGAGGGCTCAGGGTCCTCGATAGTGCCCATTGTTCTGTAGACAAACTACCCAAAACACTCCGCCCCCGTTGCTCCCAGAGCAACAAACCACGTCTCTCAGACCTTCTCGCTGTTCATGAAAACCCAAACCCCTTGTGGAGCGAGGAATAGCCATTCTAATGCTTCAAGGCCGCTAAGCCCTCAACCCTAAGCCCTAAGCCCTAAACCCTAAACCCTAAACCCTAAACCCTAAACCCGAAACCCTAAACCCGAAACCCTAGCTCTCTTTCAGTTGCGACCCAGGGCGCCGTCGATGGCAGCATCGACCGGAAGCCATTTCCGCTATCCTGCAACAGCCACAAAGTTAACTGGGGTTTAGGGTTTGGGGTTTGGGGTTTGGGGTTTGGGGTTTATTTCGTGCTAAAGCTAGATGCAGGAAACTGGAGCCTAGAACCCTGAACTTGAAAATGCGGTAGTTGTTTAAAAGATGCCATATGGTAGGTTCCTTTTCTGAGCTCGGAAATTCTGTTCTCAAACGTGACTTTTTTCCATGAGTGCCCCGTGTAATCATCACCCTCCAGTCCACAGATGACGGGGGAAAAAAACGCCCTAAACCACTGCTGTTTGCTTGTTAGTTTCTATCAGCAAGGATTCCCTGTCAAAGGAACCCTTAACCTAAAACCCTAAACCCTGAACCCTACATTTAGGTTAGTTACAAGAGCCCTTCCCCTTTTATCTCATATGCCCCATGTTAAGGGAGGCATGTAATCACCCTAAGACTGAACGTTGAGGTGTAGTGTTTGGGGTTGCGGGTATTGGGATTGGGGTTTAGGGTTTAGGGTTTAGGGTTTAGGGTTTAGGGTTTAGGGTTTAGGGTTTAGGGTTTAGGGTTTAGGGTTTAGGGTTTAGGGTTTAGGGTTTAGGGTCTAGGGTTTAGGATGAGAAGTATATCCTCATTACTTCCGGATGCAGAGGCCTAGTTACGAATATGAAGAGTAGCAGACGCCCGGCGGGGGGGGGGGGCGAACATCGAAATCTTGAGCCCTTGGCGGTCTTCTTGTCCAGATTCCGAGAGAATAAACCCTAAACCCTAAACCCTAAACCCTAAACCCAAAACCCTAAACCCTAAACCCTAAAGGGGATGATGGAGAGGATTGCTTCGGGAACTCCCTGGCTTGGTTTGGATGCTCTGTTACTTTGGGCTCGCCAGGGTGCCCCAGAATCGGCTTAGGATTAGGGGTTTAGGGTTTAGGGTTTAGGGTTTAGGGTTTAGGGTTTAGGGTTTAGGGTTTAGGGTTTAGGGTTTAGGGTTTAGGGTTTAGGGTTTAGGGTTTAGGGAACTCGTATCCCCAAGGTTGTCGTCCTTAAGGTTACCCTTCATTTACTCCTAATATGGCCCATATATTCCCTTAGACTATCCTTAATACGGGGCCTCCAAACTCCAGGGGTGTAAGGTAGAGCCTCATGACAAAACTCCGACCCACGTCCTGCATCTTCAGCCAGGGTATGTTCTCCGGCGCATGACCGACCGTGGTACCCACCTCCAAGCGTTGGATTGTTGAAGGGTGCACGTACAGGAACTTCCGAAATTAGGGGTTCTTGGGGTCCTTCTGAGAGGGGCATCCTGCAATTTGGGGGGTCTCTTCTTCTCGTAAACTCCTAAATGATTACCAGCATGATTCCCTTGTGGTCATTGGATAAGTATCGTTAAAAGTTTAAGAGTTTCGGAAACAAGCTTGCGCTCCCCAAAAGAACCAGGCGAACCAAGTAGGCCTCGGGTGCTGACCCTAAACCCTAAACCCTACACCCTACACCCTACACCCAAGGTGCCTCCTCTCCTAGCCAGGACCTCATAAGGAACCAAGGGGGGTGGAAGGGGGTGTAAGGGCCCCATATTCCCCCCAAAAATGGCTTAATCCTTGCACATACGTAAGAGGCCTAAATAAGCCCTGATAAGGGAGTATGGTCCCCTCAGAGGAGGGCGATGGGAAAGGAGAGGATGAGGATGATCATGGGCTGATGACGATCATCGTCATCAGTGGTATCAGGCGCATCAGCACCGCGATTTGTGGGGTATTCCGAAAAACTTGTAAAAACTTGTAAAACAAATGTGCTGAATGGACTGCCCGGTGTCTACGGAGCCCGCAGAAAATAACGAAACCTAACCACACAACATTCGGGTTTATATAGGCTTTTGGGGCTTAAGACAAACGAAACATAGCAAAGTACATAAAAAGGCTCAAATTAAGTGTAATGAGGATCTTTGTTCATCTCAATCGTTCCAGGACGTTCCACGGACACGGGGATATAACACAGCGAAGAGGGCACTTCTATAGCTGTGGCTCCACCAAGCGCTCGGTTCCTAAAGGATCTGGATGATGGTGCTTAATTTTGACATGGGCCATGTCGGTCGACAAGTGAGCAAGGTTCTCAAACGGAGCCAGGCGATTCTAGCAAACTTTCCCTAAACCCTAAACCCTAAACCCTAAACCCTAAACCCTAAACCCTAAACCCTAAACCCTAAACCCTAAACCCTAAACCCTAAACAAACCCTAAACCCTAAACCCGAGAGCCACCGCATCGTCAACATGCAGCCAAGAGGCATAGAAGCCTGGAGTGAGCTGCCAGCCTCAACATGGGAGCAAGGCGCCCCAAACCCCGAACCCTACTTAGGGTTTCGAGTTTATAGGGATTATAGGGTTTATAGGGTTTATAGGATTTATAGGATTTATAGGATTTATAGGCTTTGTAGGGTTTATCGGGCTTATAGGGTTTCCAGAGTTCATAGGGTTTGTTGGGTTTTTGGGGTTTGGGTTGAGGGCTGAGGGTTTAGGGTTTAAGGTGCCATAACCCCTACACCCTAAAACCAGAAAATCAAAGGGTACCCCTTTTTGCCGTCAACGAGGTTGAGAAATTAAGGAAGCCACAGCATTTTTGGTGACCTCTCAACCCGCCGGTTGAACTTGTGTTTTACCTACCAGGTATTTAGTTTATGCAGTTCTAAGGCTTGTGGATTGAGTTTGGGTTTAGGGTTTGGGGTTCAGGGTTTGGGGTTTAGGGTTTAGGGTCTAGGGCTTAGGGTTCAGGGTTTAGGGTTTAGGGTTTCGGGTTTAGGGCTTATCACCCCAATGATAAATCTACTACGGACTTAGAGGACTTTAGGGGGCGTACAAGTACAGCTGATACTTGGGGTTATAGGTACCCATGAACAAGTGCGCGTTCATGGAAATGAAGCTCTGAATTCTGGTGCAACATCTCAGCGTCAGCCGCGTCGTCTTGCCTTCCTGTCTGAGCCGAAGGGCCCCGGCAAAGCCGAGCTGATAAAGCAAGTCTGCCAGCGGACTGCCTGCTAACCGCGCAAGAAATAGCCTCATGAACTTGCGTCCCCGCATTGAAGGATACACCCCAAACCCGATGGCTGCAGCATTCTGGGGGACGAAAAAACATAATCCCTATAGACCCTTTATAAGAACCCGATTCCTACTTCTTGGAGGTTCTCATTGTAAAAGCCGCTTATAAGACTCTTGGGTTGCAATAAAGTAAGTTTTGGTGTACTTCAGGTACATCCGAGTCAAGAAAATTCCCCAAAACCGAGAGCCCTAAACGCTAGATCCTAAACCTACACCCTAAACCCTAAACCCTAAACCTTAAACCCTGAACCCTGAACCCTGAACCCTGAACCCTAAACCCTAAACCCTAAACCCTAAACCCTAAACCCACCTTATCGCCCGGCCTCGCCAGCCTTTCCCGTGGACCAGGCGCACACGCTGCCAGGGACTCAGGTTGGCCAGGGTCCTTTCATAGGGTTCTGCAGAAAAGGGGGGGGTACAAGGGGGGGTTTAGGGTTTACGGTTTAGGGTTTAGGGTTTGGGGTTTAGGGTTTGGGGTTTGGGGTTTGGGGTTTCGGGTTTAGGGTAACCCAAGGTTCCCTAATGCTCCCGACTTACCTCTCCGACACCAGACCCCTGGGCCCCTGGGAGGATCCACAAAATAGTTCAGGGTTTAGGGTTTAGGGTTTAGGGTTCCTAAGAATGACCCCATCGTACTTTTTGGTACTATTTGGGGGTTCTACTTTTTGGATCCTCTCAGGGGTCTGGGTAACCAAGGAGGCCAACAAAAAGTGAGACTTTCTTTTTCCTACTAAACACGGAAAGCCTGAAAGCTTGAAGTTCTACTATTGGTTGAGTAAGGAGATGCGCTGCGAGCTGTGTGCAGCTTGGGCTTCTTTTGTAGGGTTTAGGGCTTAGGGTATAGGGATGAAAAGTTCTTCAAGGGTTGCTCTCTACAGTTTGGGGCCCGAATGGAACCCGAAATCCTAAACTCTTACGCAGCTTCTGCAGGGCCAGGGGATTTGGACAATGCTAGGGCCCGGTCGCATAGGTTTAAGGCGTCGGCTCTCCAAGGGGTTTAGGCTATGGGTTCTTGTAGGGCTTGGGGCGTTTTGAACCCGATAAGATGCAACTTTCAGGCTTGTTTAGCATTGTAAGCCCTCCAAGTTTGGAATCTACCAACGAACCTACCGCTTGCAAACCCACTGAGGAAGGGTGCTGTCCTTCCCCTCCCATCAAAAAAGCGTCTTCTGCAATATCCTCGAAAAGTCAGCCCAGGCATCTCCCCCGAGGGTTTAAGGAGTTTAAGGATTGAGCGCGGGCGGCTAGGGTTTAGGGTTTAGGGTTTCGGGTTCTGGATTTCTATCGGCAAGCTCCCTCCACGCGCATACGACTCGGGGGAAGTTGGCACACGCACCAGTGCTCGAAACTGTGTCTCTTGCTTAGGGGCCGTGCCGGCGTGGTCTTGGTCGAAAGGTATACCTGGGACCCTATTTACCACAGTCTTATGGGTTCTACCTACTAATTAAAGGGTAGTTCCTTCAGAAACTGTAGGTAAACAGAATCCCAGGTGTGGGTTCGCGGAGTTCCAGCTGAAGGCCCATGGTTTGCTTGTGACAAGTCGCCATGTCTTTCGATGCCGTGACTGCTTCCGGTTGGCCCTAAACCCTAAACCCTAAACCCTAAACCCTAAACCCTAAAACCGAAACCCAACCATTGATGGACCTCCACGTCCATGACCTCCGTCTTCCTTCCCAGCATTGCTGACAGAGACGTGCTCTTGAACTTGATGGCAACGAGCTCTTCAGCTCGGCATTGTCCCTTGTCCCTCTGACAACATAAATTAGGTTGTTCCCCGTTATACTAACAGTCCTTAGTAGGGACTATAATAGGGGGCACTATGATACCCATTAAGGACTGTTAGTCTAAGGGGAACATCCCCAAACATATACGTAGGGGCACCCCCATTCTGAGAGCCCTCACCCCCTAAATCCCAAAAGACTCGAATTCGAACTCCGCATCCTGAATCCGACAAGAACACTACCAAGCCCCAATCAACTACAGGGTTTTACATCCATGTCTGGCAGGACCCCGCCTGCTTGCAAGGTCGTAGGCGTGTTGCCAGTGCCGGAGGAAGGGCCCATGGTAGTGAGGGATGTGGAGAGGCTCCTGTTCCGGTTCGTCGCAAGGGTCCCGGGGTTAGGAGTTTCGGGTTTAGGGTAATCTAAACCCTGAACCCCGAACTCTAAAGCCTACAACCCTAGACCCTAAACCCTAAACCCCTAACCCCTAAACTACATTAAGGGGCATAAGGAGGGAATCCTAGAAGGGACCCTTGATCTTATTCCCCTACATAACCCATACTAAAATCCCATATTACCTTACATATATAGTCCCTATATGTACCTAACTAGCCTCTAAAAAAACCCAAGGGTCCCTCCTGGAGTCCCTTGACTAAACCCCTACACCCCTGAAACCCCAACTCTTGGCCGCGCCGCGTTTTCACAACCGTAGCTCCTTGGGCGATTTGGTCGCCTTCCGAAACCGAAGCCTATTTCATGAATTGTAACCCCGCAGAACACGAACTACAGTTTTTTCTGTTTTATGTATTACTTAATATGTGTTATTTGTTATGTATTCATTATTTATTATGATTGTCCTGAATAATGAAATTCTTTAGTATGCTTTGCTTTATTTTTTGGGGGAGGGGGGTTCTTGGTATCCTGCACCATGTACATCCCCTTATTACTGGCCGAAAATATGCTGTACGCGAGTGGTTTGAGTGGAAAAATCCGCCGGGGAGCTGTCAAGCAGGAGTGCTTTGACATTCTTTTAGGGTTTAGGGTTTAGGGTTTAGGGTTTAGGGTTTAGGGTTAAGCCTCTTTCTTGGACTTGAAAACCGGGACCGTGAACAACAACATTGCAGGTTGCAGATTTGCAAGAGCACTGGCCTGGGGACCTAAAGGCTGGTTTGAACCCTAAACCCTAAACCCCAAACCCCAAACCCCAAACCCCAAACCCCAAACCCCAAACCCTAAACCCTAAACCCTAAACCTACGCCCTAAGCCCTAAGCCCTAAGCCCTAAGCCCTAAACCCCAAACCCTAAACCCTACTAGGCTCAGGGTGGTACAGGGCTTCGGGTTATTTGGTTTCAAGCCTTTTCTAGGGGGCTTAGGGTCTAGGGGGCTTCGGGCGCCTTAAACCCCAAACCCCAAAACCCTAAACCCCTGAACCCCCTAAACCCCTACAAACTACAAACCCTATAAAACTTTATAACTATAAACCCTATAAACCCTATAAACCCTCTAAAACCCTCTAAACCCTCTAAACCCTCTAAACCCTCTAAACCCTCTAAAGCCTCTAAACCCTCTAAACCCTAAACCCAGGGTGACTTAGCGGGGCTTCAGATCTGGGCCGTACTCTGGGCCTCGTCGTTCTTCGATGCGGCGGCGCCGCTGAGGAGCCTGGACACCGAACCCTGAACCCTGAACCCGAAACCCTAAACCCTAAACCCTAAACCCCAAACCCTAACCCTAACCCTAAACCCTAAACCCTAAACCCTAAGCCCTAAACCCTAAACCCTACACCCTTAACCCCGAAACCCTAAGCCCTAAGCCGCATTAGAGCAAGTAAGGGTTCCCTTTTTGGGTGTTTTTGTGCCTTTCTGTGAAGATGCAGGGACATGCACAAGCTTGTGGAGCCGTTGGCCGGAACACACCCACAGCATCCTTCTGTGCATCCGCCGGCGCAACATGATAGTGAGAGATGCTCCACAAGTTCAGCTGCGCTTCTGAAGCGAACATAGTCCTCGTGCCCTTTACCGCCCTGACAGCAAGCATTCGCGCGTGAACCATTTGCATTTCGACATGGTGGATGGGACGCTGTTGGACGAAACGGAAATTGACCAGCACGTCAGCCCATCCAGAATTCTCGGGGTGATAGCGGAACTTGATGCGCGTCACTTCTATGTCGGGCTTGGTCTGGCAGCAGAGCCGCAGTAAATTGCCCACTTTCTAACTTGTAAGGGAACCTAGGACCAATAGAAAGAGCAACAGCATACCACTGGGCTACCAAGACAGCATTGGGCAATCCAGGGTTTAGGGTGTTAGGCGTTGAGAGCTTGTAGTGTCTATGACCGGCCTATACCATACCCTTTGCGAGGCCGAAAAGCACGTGCGAGGATTTAACGCTGAGGGGTGAGGCTTTAGGATGAACGGGTTTGTGAAAGCGACCCCAACACGTTCTTGGTTTGGCTCCTTCTTGGTGGGGTGTGTTTTCTGTAGATTTACCAAGCTCTCCCATGTTCAGTACATTACTCTACTTGCGGAGGGGGGGGGGGGGAAGCAGGCCTGGAGAGCCCATCCGAAAATGCGAATGGGTTGAGGAGGACAGGAACCACATGACACGAAGGGTACCCTTTTTTGGGCCGGTTACTTTAGAAGGAAACCTTGAAACCCCCCGAAGAAGGGAAATGGGTATCACTGGGCCATCTTGAAGAATAAGGGGATCTATGGGAAGAGTACCCGCCTGAAGCTGCCTTGAGCAAACCAGCCGTCGACTAGTTGCTTCAGAACCCCCAAAGAGAGATAAGACTATTCTTCCTATCTTCTATCTTTTTTTCGGGCTCTTAAGCAGACAGTAGCCCTAAACCTTAAACCCGAAACCCCAAACATATCGTAGTAGAGGTACCAAGCTCCTCATGCCTACACCACTGTGGCGGTCGTCACAAACCTAGGCACCCTAAACCCCCAAAGCTGAGGCCTACAAAACCCGGCACAGCAACGCCCTACCCCTAAACCTAAACCCCAAACCCTAAACCCTTAAACCCTAAACCCCAAACCCTAAACCCTAAACCCTAAACCCTAAACCCTGAACCTAAACCCTACACACTGAACCCTGAACCCTGAGCCCTGAACCCTACCTAGATTGTGAACCCGGCTCTTCTTGGCGCGCGGGCACAAAGAGAAGTGCCGTCTTCATCGCCGCGGCTGTGTCCATGGCTTTGGGACATCGGGGGCGGCGTTGGCTGCTTGGGAGCTTGGTTTAGGGTGTAGGGTTTAGGGTTTAGGGCTTAGGGTTTCGGGTTTGGGGTTGAGGGTTTCGGGTACTCCCGCGGGGCGGGAATCCTTGGGGACGAAATGAACCCAAAAGGGGGGGTTTTTGGCTCATATACCTTAACAGGAGCTATCGTAATTATAGGGTATACGAGCGCCCAATTTTTTGGGTTCATTTGGTCCCCAAGGATTACGTATAAGTGGCTCACCACAGTCGGTGAAAAGGGAGTTGCAGGGGTGAGGGGGGGCTCTGAAGTAGTCTGTTTAGGGCTGCAGTCTAACCCTACCATAGCCTTCAACACCTATTTTGAGAAGGGGGGGAGACAAGGCGCCTTACATATTCGGCACACTTCGCCTTTTTGTTCGCCTTTTGTTGTTTTCAAGGTCCACGGTTCAGCTAGGGCTTTTGGGGCTTCCGGCTTAGGGTTGATGATAGCGCTGGGTTCTTGACTGGAGATCCGCCTTCCGTTGACTCCAGGGGAGTCTGCGCGATCCCTGTGGAAGCAGCCGCGGAAACGGCGGCGCAAAGTTTGCTCCAGGCTTCTGAAGGGGTTTAGGTTTCTGAAGAAGTTTAGGCTTCTTGGAGTTCATTTAGGGTTCTGAAGGGGTTTAGGGTTCTGAAGCGGCTTAGGCTTCTTTTAGGGTTCTGCAGGGGTTTAGGGTTCTTGGGTTTAGGATGGTTGGGGTTTAGGGTTCTTGGGGCTTAGGCTTCTTGGGGTTTCTTGGCTGACTTCTGAACCCCTCCTAAACGTTTAGCTGTTCGGCACAGCTCCTTACCGTAGTTTTTACAAAAAAACCCAAAAGGTTACAGTCCTAAGAGCCAGCCAGAAGGAAAGCCCAGGTTTAGGGTTTCGGGTTGGACCCTAAACCCTAAACCCTAAACCCTAAACCCTAAACCCTAAACCCTGGGGCTTCTTAGGGCTCTGTTGGGGGGGGGGGGGGTGGCTTTGGCTGATATTGGGAGCTTCATGCCGCTGCGTGGGTGGCTACAAGTGCCGCATCGGTTGCCCTAAACCCTAAACCCTAAACCCTAAATCCTAAAGCCCTAAAGCCCTGTTGCCCTAATAAACCCTGAACCCCCCCTCCCACCCACACCCGAATTCCTGCACCCGATCCTATCCCAACGCCCCGATGTGGCCAACTCTCTACATGGTCCTGGGCCCCCCCAACCGTTGTTCCCTGTTCTGGGGTACATAGTGTCGCCCTAAACCCTATACCCCCTACATACACCCTACACCCTAAACCCCACTGCACTCTGAGTCACTGGTGCGGCGCCCCAAGAATATTCTACGAACCGTACAAAATGAGCCTAGAGTCTAGAGCCTAAACCCTAGAGCCTCAACCCCACACCCAAAACCCCATAAAGGAACTACGACTATCAGCCGCTGTTATCCGCAAAACCCTGGGATTGCGTCTAAAAAGTGTTCCTAACTACGATTTTCGGGCTTAGAGTTTAGGGTTTAGGGTCTCGGGTTGGGTTTAAAGTCAGTCTAGGGCTCGTGCATAAGGATACTGTAGAATATCCAAGGGCCTGCCTAGACCCCTAATTTACTGAACCGACCGTGCGGAGCCATTTCTTCGCTTGCGTCGAACGTTCGGGGATTGCTCCTGGCGCGACTCGAGGGGTCGGGGCGCCTTGAGGGGAATTTCTGGCTTTTTGAGGCTAAGGGCTTTGGGCTTGGGGGACTTGGGGGTTGGAGGTTAGGGGGCTTGGGGTTTAGGGTGCAGGGTTTAGGGCTTAGAGAGGTTTTGGTGGAGGCTCACAGAGGAAGGCAGTGTAGTTTGGTTTTAGAGCTGAGGAGACTTGCGCGAAGAGGCTCTGAGTCAAGAGGCAGATCGGAAGATAGGGTTTAGGGTTTGGGCTTTAGGGTTTAAGGTTTAGGGTTTAGGGCCACACGACAAAAACACTGCGATGACAGCGGCACGGCTACGCTAGGCACAAAGTGTCAGCTTAACCTCAAACCCCCAACCCTACACCCCATAACCCTAAGTGGCATGGACCTTTGTGTATTATTTGGCAACCCCTTTTGTTTTATATTTTAAACATAATACAAACTTAAGAAACAACCCTTCAAAAAAAAACTCGGCGGCGTGGTTGAACTTCTCCTGCCCAGGTTTGGGTTGGGCAGAGGCATCGAATGTTTTATAGGAATTTGAGTTTAGCATTTAGTACTTAGGACTTAAGGGTTTAAGGGTTCGTTGTCGGTTTTCGGGTTAACCTAGAGATGAATAGGTAGGGTTTGTCTGCTTAAGGCTTAATTAGCCTCTTGAGCTCGGGATTTTCATCGAACATGGGAAAAGAAAGGAAGGAGAGCTAGAGAGAGGATAGGAGATAGAGAGGGGAAATGAAGGACAAAGACCGTGGAAGAAAGGAGTGAGCGATGCTCGGGAAAAAAGTGTAAGGGGAAAGGAAAAGGAACAGTGGATAACAAAAACAAGTGTCCTGCCCTACCTATTCTCTTTTCTTCTTGATCTTCTCTCACCCCTTTTTGTTCTCCAAGCGATCCTCTTTTCACCATCGCTTCATCCTTCCTCTTCTTCATTGTTTCTGTTTCCTTCACCCTGTTTCCCTATCTGTCGCTCTTCCACTGTCTCCCTTCTTCCTCTTGTTCATGACTACTGTCTCCTTCTCTTTGCTTCTCCATCTGTCTCCATCTCTTTCACTCAGGAGCCCCCCGGTGTTTTCTGTTCATTGCTCATCCTTTCTGACTTTTCGAGGCAGACCCTGTACAAACGATCGGCCCTGTTCTGGACCTGGCCCTGCACTGCCTCTTTCCACACACTCCAAACCCCTCTGAGCCTCCGCAACCGTTTCAGGCGGCCTTCAGGGAGCGTCCAAAAGGGGCCTCCAAGAGCGAAGGAAAGGCGTGAGAGGAGTTTTACTTTGAACATCCCCACCCTCTCTTGGTGGAGATACTTTGGGGTTGGACACTCCAGGGAGACTCTGGGGCTGGGCACTCCGGGGGTTGGGCGCCCCACAAAGATTTCTGGGGTTGGGCACTCTGAAAACTCTGGGGTTTGAGGTTGGGCTCAGGGATTGGAGACTCTCCAGGGAGACTCTTGGGTTGGGCACTCCAAGAACACTCTAGAGTTGGGCATTCCAGGGACACTTTGGGGTTGGGCGCTCCAGCGATGAGCGAGGAGTAGACTGGGCGAGGAGAAGAGTTCTGGGCGAGGAGAAGAGTTGAGTCTAAAATCTAACAACCCCACACCGAGGGTGGGGAACAAGAGAAAAGAGCGCAGAGACCTGTAGAGAGGTGTGGAAGGTAGTTAGAAGGAGCAGGACAAGTCCTCGATCCATCTTATCATTCCCTTCATTCTCCTTGCTTAACCTTGCCCTTGTTCTATCCCCCTACGTAATGACAAAAAGAACAGAGGAGGAAAGGCTCATGGAATGGACACGAGAAAAGGGAGAGCGGAGAAAGGATGAGAACGAACATGGGAAAAGAACGGAGGACAAAGACCGTGGAAGAAAGGAGTGAGCGATGCTCGGGAAAAAAGTGTAAGGGGAAAGGAAAAGGAACAGTGGATAACAAAAACAAGTGTCCTGCCCTACCTATTCTCTTTTCTTCTTGATCTTCTCTCACCCCTTTTTGTTCTCCAAGCGATCCTCTTTTCACCATCGCTTCATCCTTCCTCTTCTTCATTGTTTCTGTTTCCTTCACCCTGTTTCCCTATCTGTCGCTCTTCCACTGTCTCCCTTCTTCCTCTTGTTCATGACTACTGTCTCCTTCTCTTTGCTTCTCCATCTGTCTCCATCTCTTTCACTCCGGAGCCCCCCGGTGTTTTCTGTTCATTGCTCATCC